TGATTAACCCCTCCCCCCAGCCCCTCACGACCAGACCCTCTGGGTCGATCCCTGTCCCATGCTTGTACTGGAGCCAATGCGGAGCCCTAACCTGCGCTCCTCCGAGCCGGCACCCGCCTCTTCGCAGCTGCAGCAGGAGCTTCCCTCGCGGGCGGCTCTTGACTGGCTGCCGCTTTCCTTCTGGGCCTGGTGCTGGGCTCTCTTGCTTCAGCTGCCTTGCCATGCTCAGCTCCTGGGACCAGCTCTTTCCCCTTCTTCCTGCCAGATCGAGTTACTCCCTTCTCTTGGCAGCTGCTGCTCTTCGGCCTTCTCTTGGCTGCCGGCTTTGTGACCTACGCAGGGGATTGAAACAGGCAGAGAGAAGTGACACTTGCTTCTTCTGGGGACCTGTCATAACCCAGAGTGCTGGCCTCCTAGCCAAGTGAGTGGTCAGCCAATAGAGATGCAGGTAGGAATTTCAAACTGGGACAAAGGAATTTTTGGATTTCCCTCCTTTGTCTCTGGGCAGTTCTCTCTAGATCCTGAGGGAGACAGAAGACATGTCTCTCTCCAAGAAAAAGACTCTTCATAATGTGTAAGTAGGGTAAAGTCTACATAAAACTGTCAGGTTTTATTGTTTTCTGGTTTGGGAATTTGGATCTGATGTCTGTGCTGTTAGAAATGGGTTTTCCTCTCTTTTGCAACTCAGCCATGGAGGATTACCATGAGCTCAGGACTGTGTCTAGACTGGCAAGTTTTTCCGCAAAATCAGCTACTTTTGCGGAAAAACTTGCCAGCTGTCTACACTGGCTGCTTGAATTTCCGCAAGAACACTGACTTCCTACGGTAAGAAATCAGTGCTTCTTGCAGAAATACTATGCTGCTCCCGTTTGGGCAAAAGCCCTCTTGCACAAATGATTTGCGCAAGAGGGCCAGTGTAGACAGCACAGTACTGTTTTGTGCAAAAAAGCCCCGATGGCTAAAATGGCGATCAGGGCTTTTTTGCGCAAAAGCGCATCTAGATTGGCACAGACGCTTTTCCACAAAAAGTGCTTTTGCGGAAAAGCGTCCATGCCAATCAGGGAAAAGTTTAACTAGTCTATCAGGTTTTATTGTTTTCTGGTCTGGGAATTTGGAACTGAGGTCTGTGCTGTTAAAAATGTTTTTTCTTTCTTAAAAAGTGTGTTTTTTCTCTTTTGTAATGAAGCTTTCTAACCCAGGGAATTTTCTCTGAGTGTATCAGTTGGTGGCTCCTACCATCTAGCCCCCTCAACTATGCTTGCAATGGTAATTTTGTTTTGATGATAAAATTATTTTCTTTTTCTAAGTAGCCGGTATTGGTTCATTTGTGTGTCCTGGAAGGTCTGTCTGTATATCTACCTGCCTGACAGAGGCAGCCATAAGAGACTCTAGTTTGTTTCTCTCTTTTTCAAGCTCTTTTGGGAAGAGAGCTTGGGGTGCCCGGGGCTTGGTTTCAAGTGTCCATCCCTGTTTGTGGTTTCAAAAGCACTTGATGGTAGCAGCAGATTTTTATTCCCCAAAATCTAGGTTTTTAGGATTTGGGGGGGATGGTGGCTGCAGATTTTTTTATCTCCAAAATCTAGGTTTTTAGGATTTTGGAGAGATGTTTTATACCAAAGCCTGGAGAGATCAGGTTTTGGGGTCCTTTTGCGGGCCCCCACTTCTGCATTTATTGTGCCAGAGTAGGGAACAGCCTTGACAGGACCTCACTAGAACCTCTGGTGCCCAGGGGAACCAGGGGCAAAGGCTGTTGAGGGAAGTGCCGGAGCTGTTCTGGGATCAGCCTACAGCTGCACGGCTTTAGCCATCCGTGCTATGGAGTTTGCTCCACACACTTCAGGAGGCAGCAAGCCGGGCAGGTTTTAAAACGTGGCTGGCCTAATGTCAGGTGCGGAGTTTGGCCTTGTTCTCCCCAAAAGTCTGCTCCTCAGGACACGTCACCAGCTCCTCACACAGCCACCCCCAGGCCTTACAATAAAGGCCCACAGAATATCAGGCGCTGCGCCAGGCAGAGACAGCGGCACGGCACTGGCTTTGGAGCAGAGACCTCGGCTGCTCTGTCTGCACCGCACCTTGTGCGGCGAGCTCCTGGGCTGGCCCAGCAGCTCTATCAGAACAAACATGATTCTCTAGTACAGGCAGACACAGGCATTTTACAATCTGCCCCTCAGTGTGTCAGGTTGTCTGAGGATTTGCAAATAGTTAAACAACAGGGAACAGATGAGCCGTTTCACTCTGAACTCAAACACAGGCAGCAGGATCCGTAACAGGTGCAACAGCAGCTGTTTGGAGAAAACATCTCCCATGGACTGCAGCAGCTAAACACAGCTGCATTAGGGCCAGACTTCAGATGCTTCCTTTTTCCGGTCGCTCAACTTGTGTTGTTCCAGACATAACTTGACCCTGTTTGTGATTTGTCCCTTACTTGAGGAACACACATTTGTGGTGCATTTGTGTTTCCTTCAAACGGAAGGCGAAACAACACCTGGACAATAGACGTGTGTTTCTTTAATCCCACCCAGAGATCAGCAGAGACTACCGAAAATAAAACAGCCTCTGTTCTTCCTGCCCTGAGTTCGCTTCGTCGGGGAACGAGCTTAATGAGAGGGTGAGGCTGAGATCCCAGCTATCAGAACCTCTCTGGAATCCTGAGCCTCTCTACAGAGATGCGTACACAAAGAGAACATGCACACCAAGGGTGAGGCTACGCACCAGTGAAGCGGCCGCAACTTAGGGGGCTAGTAGAGAGAGGTGATATTGTCCAGGGAGCGGTTACAGGACAGGTGGGGGAGTTTGGGTTCTATTCAAGCCCCAGTTCACTGACCCACCCCCCAATGGAAACACATTGGGGAACGGGGAGGGATCGGTTTTCTCATCTGGAAAATGGGAATAGTGGGGGCTGTGAAGGCTGATTTGATGTTTTGCATCTTCCATTCAAGGATCCAGTGACATGCACAATGGGGGCAGCAGGAGAATGACTCTGGGAGTAAAGAGCCCCCCAAACCCCAGACAGGGGAGACTCTAGACTAAGGCTCGGTACCTTTGGATTCGGAGGCTCGGGGTCAGCTTTCACACGTGAGCTCTTCTTGCGGGACTTTTCTCCTGCATGAGAGAAAGAAGACTTGAGCGCGGGCAACTCATGAGGCTAGAGAGGGACCTGGCTGCAGCTGAGCCAGGTCTAATCCCCAGCCTTCTCCTCTGGGAAGAGAAGCTCCCCCGTTGGCCTAGGAGCTTGGAGATGGCTCTGAGGGTGGTTGGACACGGCTGGCCTGGTTTTGGGACATCTTGCCTGGCCTGCACACGAAGTGAGCGTACGTGGGGTGCTCAGAGCGGGCCGGGTGGCGGACTCTCCCTCCACAGAGCAGGCATAGCACAGAGCGGGACAGTGCAAGCTACTCCACAGTCACGCGCAAGGACACTCGGAGGATGCACAGGGGCTGCCAACAACAGGACCCTTGGAGACGCACGTTCTCCTTTCACCCGCCCACCGAACTGCCACTCGGTGTAATCGTACTGGCCTGGATTCGGGGCAGCGAGCTACCGTTTGAGAAGTGTCGCTTGTTCCCTGATCCGCAATAAACACGGAGGAAGTCTCCCTGTCTCTCCCAAGCTACCCAGGAGCAAGAGAACCCTGCGAAGCGTGGAGGAGCAAAACTGACATTCACCTTTCGGGGCCATAGGTCCAGGCTCCCCCTGCAAAGGAAGGAAGAGCTTTTAGACAATATCCTAACCCAATGCAAAGGGCCCTCGAAACCCCTCTCGGGCACTGAAGGGCTCAGCAACGCTGCTGGACCCACTAGCATGGGCAGCAGGGCACTAGCCGCAGCTACAGGCAGTGACAGGAGAGAGGGGACAGAGTCTTGCAGCTACAGCTGGCTCAGTGCAGTGTAAGAGTGCTAGACTGGGCGTCTGTGGTTCTCATTTCTTCGGGTTCTGCTTCACTCCACTAGGGAGCTAAGAGTTTTACTGGTTAACTGATAAGCATTAACTAACTGGTTAACCTTGATGGTTAAACTGGACCACCATGGGGAGCCCACAGGGCTGGTGGTGCCAGCAGCCGCCAAGAGCAGTGGGGCTGGAACCCTCAGGGCCAGCAGCCCATGTAGCATCTAACCATGGAACCGACTGAATTTCGAGTGATTACACAGTGGGTTTAAAAGAAAAAAAAATAAAATCACATCCCCTACTCTCCACCCATCCTCCAAGTTGCCTAGGTGGGCAGGGCGGGCTCTCCAGAGCACATCTGGTCCCCCTGCTGGCGAGCTGATCTCTGAGACCTCCACGTCGCTATGGCTTGGCCTGGCACAGTCTATCCTATGTCCTGCCAGTCTCCCCTTGGAGCAGAGCCCCAAGGTAGGGGGAGCAATCACGACACAAGCCCTTTGAAATGCAAACCCCCATGGTTCAGACCTTACTGCACTCTTGCAAGGGCTGCACAGAGTCCTCTCTCCCTGTCCCAGCCCAACGCCACTTACCCAGCCCACCCCAGAGCCTGCACAGCCCTGCCTTGACCACAGTGTGGATCTCCAAAAAGCAAAACCTGGGCCTGTCTCAAGTCTGGTGCACATACCCTGCAGGCAAGGTTTGGGAGGGAGAAGCTTTGAGAGGCAGGAATGTTTTGCATAATAATTCAGATTAGGCGGTACAGTGAGACCACGTCAAGACCACACGACAATCAACCTAGTACTGGTACTTCTGTTTCTGATCAGTAAAAGTTACAGATGCGGCCATAAAACTGTTAATTATGCACATAGTTTTTGCAACATCCTGAGTAGCAGGATGTTCCCCAAATAGTGCATTGGCATTGCATGTATTTTACATAATCAATTGGTAAATATTATAAGAACGACCAAGTCTCGCTTTGCTATAAAATGGGCTTATTAAGAAGCAGTCCTTTTTTGTAAGGGACAAAGTTGCTGAGGGCAGGGGCGTGGGGAGAGGAAGCCACGCATACCGTCACAAAAAAAGCACTGGTAAAAAGAATCGATGGGAGGGAGGGAGCCATAGTCCTGCTCGTCATAACTAGAAGTAAAAAGACCCTTCACACCCGCTACATCAGTGCATGGCGTCCAAACGGGTGGGAATCAAAGGGACCACGACCTCTTGCCTGGTACTGTAGGTAGCATATGGGTGAAGTGTAAGTGAACTAGGCTCTATTATTGTATTACAGTAGATCTTCTATTAATTGCTTTTGCATTGCTTTGGCCTGTATTAATTGCTTTAGAATGGATAGTGGTTAAGGTTTAAATTGTATAGTCATTGTTCTTAAGGCTTGTAAAATGTGAACAACTGCATTAACTGCTTAACACTTGCAGTAAATCAGAAAGTGGTTAAGTCTCTCTGGAGTGTCCTGGTTTCCCTTGGATCTAAAATAAATGGAACCACACAACACACACACACCCAGCCAAAGCCCTCACCTCCCTATGCCCCAACCCTCTATCCCAGTCCTGAACCTCTTTCCGCACTCTGAACCCCTCAGCCTTTGCCCCGCCCCACATCATCTCCATGTAGGGGCACAAAACAAAATTCACCCCGCTCATGTGGGAGAAATCAGAGGGCACATGGCTCCTACCTGAAACCAGATGGTCCTGCCATTGCCATCGCGCAGCGACCGCATGCCAGGCACATAGTAGCACTGCAGCCATGCCTCGAAGGCAGCGCTGTCGTCCGAGTGCTCCGGGCCATAGCCCTTCCCTCCTGATGGGCACAAAAACAAGCATCCGGAAAAACACTGAGCAGCCACAGAAGTGAGGGGCCGATCAGCTGTGGGCTTTGCTCTGCGCTATCCTGACCCCTGCTGGGGGTACCAGCAAGGATCCGCTTTCTGCCCCTTCCAGGGGTTCTCTCACCCCCAGCGGGGGATGGCTTGGAGACAGATTTGCACCTTCGCAGCCTGCTCGCACGTGGTTTGAAAGCATCCAGCTCTTAAGAGCCTGGCGTTTCTCAGCTTCTATTGGAGGATGGAGACAGCAACTACTCTGACCCCCCCCACGGGTGTCAGTCTGACCCAGGGGAAAGTTCCTTCCTGCCCCCAAATATGGCAACTAGTTAGACCCTGAGCATGGGGGCAAAACCCAGCAGGCAGATTCCTGGGAAAGAATTGTCGGGAATAGCTCAGAGTGTTCCCCTGCTGTATCCTGTTTCTGGTGGCTGGGGATTTTTGCTCTGGGCCTGTGGCAATCGCTACCCGTTGAAAGCCATGCCATTTCAGAGTGAGGGAAGTCGCTCCTGCAGCCCAACAGGAAGGCCTAGGGTTCCCCATCCTCCCACGCAAAACCCAGCCGCCTCCCACTCCTGCAAACACAGCGTCCGAGCGTTTTCAGAACCTGCTTCCTGCTACCCCTGCCCCAACCCTCCTGAGCAGGGCTCCAGCCCTTCCCTCCTCCATCACAGAGGCAGCAGGGATCCAATCCCAACTGCCAGATCTCAGTGCGGCTCCGTCACCCCCGTCCACAGGCTCCATGGCCCGCTCCAGGGCAGGAGCCCGCAGCCACCTCCTTACCCATGCGAACGACCTCCATGGGCACCACGTGGCAGAGCTCCAGCAGGTCTGGATTCTCCCGCTTTAGCTTCACTTTCTTGCTCAAGGTCAGGCCAGGGCTCTGCGGGGTTTGAGAGGAGGAGATTCAAAGGGGCAGCCCACCAAGCCCAAGCCAGCCCCCTCCCTTGCAGCCCTTCTCCACCCAGCCAGGCCCCTCTCCTCCCTGCCAGTTTCAGTGAGGCAGCTGGAGCAAAGACAGCTCAGGTCAGCCGTGCCACTCGGCCTGCCTGGTGGGCCTGCCCCAAGCCCTTTTACAGCTGCAGGTTCCACAAAAACGCACCCAGCCTCGTGCCCTCCTGGCAGCCAAGCCAGCCTGCTCCACTCTCCCCTATTTCCCTTACCAGAGACCTAACCCCGCCCAATCCACCTTCCTGGTCTCCAGTGCTAAATGCTCCCGGTTTCCTGTGGCCAGGCCAAGTTGAGCCCTGGAGGCACAGGCCGGGCTAACTCCATGGACTCAGCAGGGGCAGCTGCAGCCGAGAAGGACTCCGATCTGCAGCTCTCCAGTGCCCACTGCCCTATTTCAGCCCACACATGGGTGAATGGCGCCTGTACGCCCAAGCCCCCTTACGGCTGGGACGCATTGCTGACTGCGCCGGAGGCATTTGTAGCTTAACAGCTGCTACAGACCGGCCGGGGGAGGGGCCAGGGAAAGGCTGATCAGACAGAAACTGTCTTTGGGGGTTTTTAAAAATAGCTACTTCCCCTCCACGGCCACTGGAGCAGAATAGGCAGATTTGGAGCCTAAGCTACCGTGATTCCATTACGCGTGGGGCAATGTCACACCAAGTTAGGACCTCTGGCTCAGAACCCCAAAGGGAGTTAGGCTCCTCCTTTCCGTTTAAGCAATGGAAGTTCAGTGCCTAAATACCTTGGCGTATATGGAGATTGGCTGGGGGAGGGAACAGTAAAGTGACCGAACTATGCAGGTGGCTACTGCGCAAGGCAGAGCACAGTTCCCCTCAAAGGACGGTGCGCACACAATGCGGGAGCCAGAGATGTATTGGCCAGGACACGATTAGCAAGCCAGCTCGATGTGCAGAGCAACTCCTGGGAGTTAAAGGCAACGGAGTGGACGTTTGTGGAGCCTCAGTCCTCCCAAAGGCCCCAAAGGCCTCCAACGTGCTCTATCCCCTCGCTATATCCCACGAGGGCGTCCTTCACGGAGGAGCCAAACGCAGTCACTTGTGCTCTGAACTGCGGCAACTGTTGCAGAGCCTGCAGCGGGGCCGCGCACGGGAGGGAAGAATTCTGTCCCCTGCTCAAGCTGCGTGGCCAACAGAGGCAGCCAGAACGCAGTCTCCAGAGCTGGGATTCGACCCGGGGCCGGGCTGACATCCCTGTATGGACAGGGCTCCAGGGGACCACATGGACTTGTGCTGCAGCTCTCGGAAAACACCCCTTCCAGCAGCACAGCGACTCCAGACCCGGCCTGACTCGGAGCCGTTCACTCAACAGGCCACACGGCTCTCCACATGTGCCAGCCGTGGAAACCACGCATGCAATGATCTGGCTGAGCCAGGCCCACACATCTCTGGGGGGTAAGGCCCAAAGAATTCATCTGAGAAGGGAGTTTGAGAGACACGGATCAGCCCCTGAAGCATCTGGCCTCCTGGTTCAGGATGAAGAACCACCTCCAAGACAGCAGCCACTTCTAACAAGAACAAAGAGTAACGGGCCCCAAACCAGAAGTGGTGGAAATTCCAAGGGTAAAGCTACAAGTCACGAGTGGGGGGCTGCAGGAAGTCCGAGAGCCACCGACGTGGTCATGCCCCATGCGCTGTGATCCTCAGGTGCTACGGTCCAAGCTCTGAACCTGGAGTTCTCTGTGACGATTGGAACGTGTCTGAACCTTTTCCACCCGCCTCACCTGCTTTGGATGCTGAAGAGCCTCTAGCACCGTCCGTGCCTTCTCAAAGGGAGGGATCTTTAACCTAGGAAAGGCCACCGGTTACGTGAGGACCCCAATGCAGTGGCAACTAGCACCAATGGAGCCCCGGCAAAGGGGAGCAAGTTGCCGATGCAGCGGGGAACAGCAGCGGCTTTCCACTCTTGTGAGCTGGATGTGATTTATGCAGTGAAACATTGGCGCATTCAGACAGCCCGCTGTAAATCAGCTGCCTCGCCCCAGGCAAGGTCCCAGACTGAAAGCGTCACTGCGGGCCAGACCCCAGAGGCCTAGCATATTTAGTCCAGTCAGAAAAAACACAAACAAAAGCTCAGAGTTATTTGGCACGAGTCTAGTGCGAGCACAGCAGAGAGCTCAGAGCGGAGATGCGCTGGCCACACCATGCAGGTACTTAATGCTGGAACGGCCGTGGGCTTGCTGGATTTTAGAGAGGGAAATGGGCAGCCCATCAAAAGTGTAGACCCACATGGTGCTGGTCTTGCAGCTCCAGGGGTGGGAATCCCAAGGTCTGGCTATCTATTTACTGCGTAAAAGGGGCACGAGCAACCTCACGCTCTCACAACCCCTAGGGCAGGGCTAACACTTCCACTGTATGCACAGGGAAACTGAGGCACAGGGAGGCTGCAGGATTGTCTATATAGGGAATTCAGACCAGTTAACTGAAACTATGAAGTTACAACACATCAGTTCAAGTGTGGCTCATTCATAAGTAAACTGGAATGCATGTGAACTTCACTGCTTTAGTTATTCCACCTGGATTTTCCCCAGTATCCCTGTGTAAACAAGCCTGGCTTGCTCCAGATCCCACAGGGAGCCAGGGTGGAACAGGGAATTGGACCCACATCTCCATCGGGCTGGCCTCCTCTTCTCCACTCAGCCCCCTACTCACCTGTAGAGAATCTCAGCTCGGAGGTAGTTGCCAATCCCATTGAAAAACTTCTGATTTAACAGGGCTTCACAGATGGGCTTGTTGAAAGCCTTGTCAGACAGATTCTTCAGCACGTTCTCCCTGGAAGACAGCAGGGCTGGTCAGGCAGGCTTTCAGCTGGGGGGGGGGAAGAGGCAGAGAAGGCCCCTACCCTGTCAGAGGTTTCCAACATGGTAACCAAGAGGGGTGTGGTTGTTCTCCAGTGGGGGCCTCTGCTGCAGAAGGGTCTGCCTCCGAACACAATCAGCAAGGAGAAGTGAAACTAAATGATGGAGGTTGTGGTCTTGTGGGAACAATTGAAACCTGGGGGAGTGGGGGGTTCTTATAGCAGGACTGTAACTATATAGATGTGAACAGTCTGTGTAGGAGAGAGAGAAGGGAGCAGCATTATGGTAAGAGAGGTGCAAGCTGGTAACGATGAAGGCAAAACTCCTTTTTTGGGGGGTAAGATACAGGGATAACCTGCTGGTCCCTTAGCAGGAACAGCGCACACATTTGCAGTTCCAGGGGTGTACGTTCCATGAATTCAGCCTCATAGGGAAGGGGTTCCCAGAACGCAGCAGCTCTAAAGGTCCTGGGGTCCAGGCAAGCCAACGAAAAGCCTGAGCATGAAAAGAGGAAGCACTGAAGATGCAGCACAGCGCGAAGAACGCTGGAGGAACAGTAAGAGCCATGGCCGTTAAGACATGGAAGGCTGAACTCTGAACCGGATGAATACAAAACATGAAGAGCTGCTCTAAAGTCTGCATACAGGAGCGCAAAGAGATAACGCAATATGAACTTTTGGAGTCAGGAAAGGCTTGCAGGAAGAGACAAGGGTACAAGGAATGCTGCCAACGGGCAGTAAATTAAAGCAGCCACACAGAAATGCACTGATGAGTAGCTCATTCATCAATGAGGAGGGAGGTGAAACTAACAAGGACTCACAAAGACTGAGCTAAGGGGATCCTTTTATGTAATATGTAATCTGCTCCGGGAATTGACCAACAAACTCACCGAGCCTGCGACTACTGAATGGGACACAATCCAGGAAAGGTAGGTTTCGGAATATGAGGGGGGGGGAAGATCGCAAAGGAAGTGGTGGAAACCCCAGTGCTCAGCAGATCCAAAACTAATTCTGAAAATCCACTAATAAACAAACCACATGGCGCTTGGGCAGACCAGCATGCATGTGTGGTTCCGACAACCCAACGATCCCTTTCAATCTGAGGCTTCTCTCAGTCTGTGGGGCACCCTTCAGCTATGAATTCTACCTGTGAATACAAAGTGGGCACTTTGGCCTACAGCCTCTAAGGTAGTTAAGCCTTTTCAAAAGACGTTAGGAGCCTCCGTACCTCTGAGGACCCAGCCCCTTGGCCTGCCAAGCTACAAAGTCCCTCCCTGCCCTCCGAGGGGTTTTGCTGGTGTTAAATTAGCTACAGCAGGATTCTCCCTTTCTTGCACTGCTTCATGACTGTGATAGATGAACAATAACAGTAAAAAATTCACTTGGACAAGACAATACCACGGCCCACTGGGCATTCTTTCACAGTCAATTAACAGAGGAGCCCCAGCTTTTCGCAAGCCTTTCACTTTGCATAACAGACATCTTCTCCAATTGGTACCTCGTTCATTCCCCACCATTCAGAACCCCAGCTTCCCCGGCTCAGTTCTCAATATGCTGAATGGAAGGATCAGGATGGTAATCTGCATAGCCACTGGAGACCCAGTGGTGTATGGGTAACATCTCTCCGCTGTGCTCATCCCTCTTCTAACCTTATGATGTTTTTGCTGTTTGCTTGTTACACAAGACAAAAACCATGCCGTAAGGTGTTTAAACCAAGCCCGTTCCCTCTTTCATAGCAAGATCTCTGGGAATGCAAAGCATCAGACAAACCAGGCTTCAACCCAAGAGAGTTTCCATAAATGTGAGCTACAAGTGTTCCTGTAATAGCGAAAGGCCCAGTCAGATAATCCAACAGTGAAGTCTATCATTCCTGTCCCTTCCCTTGACACACACTTTCTGAGGCAGAGAGGGTAGCTCTCACCTGAATTTCTCGTACTCCAGCATCACACATGGCCCTCGGTCCAGCTGCCACGTCCCGTCCACTTCCCACCTCCCAAAGCGCCTGAAATCCACGAAGCAGAGGGCTCGGCGCGGGCTCTCCTTGGTGTAAAACCGCAGGTGGGCATGTTTGGGCAGCTCAGCCTCGGGGGTGAACTTGAAGCTGCCCGACATCCCAAAGCGGAAAACTACATCCATGGGCTGCTGAGGTCCGTTCTGGCTTTGCCCTGCCCTGCCCCTCTCTCTGCCGGTGAGCACCTTGTTCTCCTCTTTGAGGGGCATCAGGGTCAGCTTGACCTCCTTGCCCCGGGAGACGGCGGAGATCACGTACGCGTCGCTTTCAAACGGCACCTCGGGGTTCTTGCTCACTTCAGACTTCTCCACCTTCCCAGAGAAGATAAGCCCTGCACATACCGTGTTGATGTAGCAGCTGGCCAGGTGCAGCTCGGGGCCCTCTGGCATCTTGGATACCTGTCCAAACAGCAGCAAGACCCTGGCATAAGACAGAGCAGCTAGGGTAGCACATGCACAGTACCAGCCGAGCGGGAAGCTCGCTCAGTCCCTAGCTTTGCCGAGCCCTCCTGCCCAGTGAATACGGACACAGCAGCAGGTGTGCAGGGGCCGCTGCCAGGCTGGGCCTAGGGATGCCACTGAGGTTGGGAATGAGGGATGGGGCCACCTGGCCATGGGCAGAGCCACCAGCCCCTTCCATGAGGAGCCAGGGCACAGCCAGGACAAGGGAACCGCCAGGGCCTGGGGCCAGCAAAGGAGATGGGCTCTGGGTCGCCTCAGCCAGGAAGCTCCTCACAGGAGCCCTGGCCTCCCCCGCCCCCAGCCTGCCCCCCACCAGCTCACGATGATTACTACTGCACCATTGATCTCCAACTCTAGGCTTGGTGATAAAATCCAGGGAACAAGGCTTGCTTTAGGGATGTGAAAGTATAACCATGTAAACGGTTAACTGATGAGCCTGGGCTCATTGGTTAACATTCACAGTTACATGCTGGCTCCTGGTACACGCAGGCAGCTGGTGTAAAAGCTGGTTCCCGGGGAGCCACCTGCCTCCCAACATGACTCCCAGCATGCACCAGCTCCTGGGGAGCTGCCTGCCCTCTCGCAATACTACCTCTGATTCAGAGGCAGCAGTGCAGGGAGGCAGCGGGGAGCTGGTATGTACAGAAAGCAGCTTAAAACCTGGCTCCCTGCGCTGCTGCTACTTATACAGGGGCAGCAGGTCAGGGCAAAAGGTGGGAGCTGGTACACGCAGAGAGCCAACTTAAAAGCCAGCTCCCTGCACGAACCAGCTCCTAGGGAGCTGACTGCCGCTCCACATGTAACTGCTATAATTTTCAGCAATTACATGGTTACTTACACACATTTTAACATCCCTAGTTTGCTTGAATGTAGATGCCAGAGTATGTGGCGCACTGTTACCTTGCGAGTGGTAAAACTTTGGCTCTGAGAGCCATGCTTATCAAGCTGATGATCCTTATTTCCTCCTGCCAAGGAAGCAGATTTGTGCTCGCTTGCTCTTTAAGGTTTAGAAAGTTGTCCAGCCCAAGAACAGAGATTTCAACGCTGTCACATTTCCTGTTCTGGTGGGTTGTTCACAGTCAATCAAATGACAAAATATACTTGGGAGGGGGGTGTCACAGAAATTTATATTTACTTCTCTTGTTGGATCACATACCCCTTTAAAGGATACTTTTGTACAAAGTCCTATTACAGCTGGGAATATAAAAGTCTTTATAAAATTATTTTAATTACAGTATTAAAAAACCTCCATTAGGCTGGTCTCTAACAATCAAGTTATACTGATGGTAAAACTTCTTTCATAGTGCAGAGAGACCATTCCTTTATTCCGTGCCTTCTTGAAAAGACATGATAGGACTGCTGTTACTAACATGATGAGGTAAGGGGCTGTGGTATTCACACTGTGACATAGCATAAAATCAGAATTCTGGGCTTTGGATCAATCCATTGTGAGCATCCCAACCTCCTAACTCAATTTAAAAAGCAGTATAAACAATTAAGTGTGTCAATGAAATCTTAGTGCAAATACATTAGTCATGGGAGGTGTATGAGTTGGCCCATAGTGCAATATCTGTTCAGTTGTAATTCTTGTAGGACTAAATGGATCCAGTATTCATGACATTTTCCAGGATCTTTCCTTTCTCATGGGTACTCTACCAAAATGTAAGGGCGTGAGAGCACACACAATGAAGACGTTTGTCAGACGGGACTGGTCAGATTTTTAAAGAAAAGGATTCTGACTTTGCATCAATGTCATAGTGGAACATTAGCAATTGCTGTGTTCTTTCTTGCAGTAGAGAGCCAGACATGTTAAGACTTATTTGATTAGCAGATTTCTCAAATCAGTAGGCAGACTCATCATGTGTGCATGTTTGGCACACTGCTTCAAGCTGATACGTGATCCACAACTCTCTCAGTATGGGAGCACCAGTTCTAGCAGGTCAGCCAAAGAACGGTTTTCCAGTGTGTATCCTGTAAGCGTCATGCTAACCTAGTCCCCATTAGAAGTCATGCTGTATAACTTACAATACATACGTCAGGTTCCTAGCTAATGCATGCATTATATCTCTGAAATGTAGGCTACAGGAACTGCTGCTGTGTCCTTATAAAAGATTTGAAGAGTATCTTAACCTTCTTTATGCTCTGAGACTGTACACTCCTCCAGAACATGCTGACCGGGAAGATTTGACTTCTGCAATAAAGATGATGAAACAATACAAGGAATACATAAATCAGGTCTGTTATCAGAGATATCTCTGTTCTCTCCTTTCAGTGTGGTATTCGTGTGGGTGCCTCATAAGACAAAACAAGGAGCCAAGACATTTGAGAGAGAGTTAAGGCCATGAGTTGCCTTCCATTTCAGATACCTTTGCTAGGAAGAGCTGCTTCCCCCTCTAATTTCAAAGACAGGAAAAGACACAATGTTCTATGAATTCTATAAAAACATTGGGTTATGAGTAGAGTAGTCCTTTTTGAGGGACTTTGAAAATGTCTTGGACTTCTATAAAGTCCCAATCCTTGACTAGATTTGTGCAGCAGTGTAAAAGGAGCATAAAAATGGGCAGTGTCCCCAGTGAATACCACCTGCATAACGGGTTTTCTTAGATGGTGAGATGCTGTTGGAAATGCCAGAGATGAGAGGGCCTTGCACTCTAGCTGTTCTTCACTGATGGATGACCTCTACTTCATTAACAACTACACAGATAATCTTCCTCTACAGAAAAGAAACTAAGCTGGCTCATGAGGCATGAGAAAACACCTACCAGTTGGTACATTTACTCTAAGAAAGTGATGGGAAAAAAATCTCCACACACAACAGAGGATTTCAGAACATGAAGGATTTTGTCTGACTCATTTTACACAAGTAATTTTCTTGGTAAAAAATCAGTGGGGTGAACTTAGTTTAACAAAACTGCTATGTAATTCAAATATCACTGCACCCACCCCACCCACCTACTGCGCAGGCTCCCCACTGCCCAGCCACCTACTGCCCGGGCCCTGCACCCACCCCAGCCACCTACTGCACGGGCCCCCTACTGCCCCACTTTCAAGTAGGAATAAGAAATCTTCCGGAAAAGGCTTTATTTTCTGGAGAACCCACCCCAGCCACCTGCTGCCCAGTCTCCCCACTGCCCTGCACCCACCCCAGCCACCTACTGCACGGGCCCCCTACTGCCCCACTTTCAAGTAGGAATAAGAAATCTTCCGGAAAAGGCTTTATTTTCTGGAGAATAACGTCTAGACTGGCGCTTTTCTCCGGCTTTTCCCCAAGCTGGAAAAAAGCGTCAGCCATGTTAATGCAAATGCCGTGGGGGATATTTAAATCCCCTGCAGATTTGCCTATTCCAACGTGCTACATTAGCATCTCTTTTCTGGAAGGGATGCCAGCGTAGACACAGCCCCACTGTTTTGTCCTCATTACACCTCTCCCAAGCTCATGTTCTATGAAGTTGGCATCTCTTCATCTGTGGGCGGCTGGGAATTGCAGCCCACGCTGCAGGCAGGTCAGGGTCTTGTCTGTATGTGGCTGTGCCCTTCCCCAATTTTTCTAGGGTCCCCTCATTTAATGTTTTGTCAATTAGTTCAGTTCTGTTGAGTTAACAGTATCCCCTCCCCTCAGCTCCATTAGGAGGAAGCCAGAATCACCTCAGAGCCTCCACTTCCTCCCTGTCATTTCCTGCCTCATGAGCCCCTGCCCGCTGTAACAGAGTCACTACAGAGCCAGCCTCCGTGTCCAGGGGTGTTTATTTTAAATGACAAGATTCAGCTCCAGCCAAGAGACTCCTGCCATTCTAGGCAGAGGAAGCCGACTGCACATTGGCAAAAACCTGCAGCCACCATGGACAGTTTCAGCCAAGCCTTCTCTCCTGCCCAAGAGAGAAAGACATTCAATGAGGACTAGGAACTTCTCCACCCCTCACCCTGCCCACCTAGACGACATGGCCAATGCACAAAGTGCAGCCATCTGTACATGTTCTGTGTGCACCATTATCCATACCCATTATCCATACCCAAGTGGAGTTTGTCTGCCTGACAGGACAGGTGCCTCCGTTATAAATCACCACTCAAGATCCACCACTGCCCAGCTTGCCAGTAGGTGCTTCAGCCAGCAGCTCAGCCAGCCAGAACATGCTACAAGCAATGAGGCCATTGGAGGTCTCCTGTAAGCTAGACAATTGATACCCTCTGACGCCATCTCCTCTGTGATGCTGCCTTCCTTGCTTCCATACGATCTGTTAGGAGATCCCTGGATCCTCTGTAGGCATCCATGATGACTAGGGGGCCCACCATAACATCAGCTTCTGCTTCTGCTTCTCTCCTGGAAGGGGAACCTGTGAGGGGCAGAGGCAGAAGCAGCAAGAACCCATTGAGTTTGCTGTTAGTCTCACTGTGGGATGAGAGACTGAACCACGCAACTTACCATGTCTGGAAACCACATCTCTTTGGAAGGGCTTTCCTGGCCATCTCTTTGAAGGCTTCGCTCTCCTGGTCTGCCTTCCAAGCAGGCCACAGTTCCCAGTCTCACAGCACCTGCAGATGTTTCTGGTGCCCTCCACTGGAGACCAGCTGACACAGAACAGGAACAGGGGAGAAGTCTGAGCCAGGCTGCTGTTCCTATCCCTCCCCAAGGGTGTTCTAGATACTCACAAGTTGCCTGCTTTGTTGTAGGAACAAGCCTTGCTCAAGGGACCTGGGGCTTGCTCGGCTGCAGTGACTTTCAGGTGGCAGGTGAGATAAATCTGGAGGGAAGTGGATGAGTTAGGACCATTGCAGGGGACACCAGCACTCGCTTAGTGTGAGGAAACGCACTTGAAGCGGAAGTCTGGGAGCTCACCAAGTTCCTGGCATCCCCTGCAAACCTGAACACATCCACCATGAACTGCAGCGTGTCCTGCCTGGGCCGGGGGGATACGAAGGCAGAGGAGGCATCATCTGATCTCCCATCCACCAGGCACCTGGACACAAGAGTCTGGTTAGGAAGAGCCCCACCCACGCTAGGTAGATCTGAGACTCAGGAGGGCTCCTAGCTCTTACCCGTAGAAGTCAATAACAGCGTAGCGGGGAGAGGAGTGCCTGTCCGGGCTCAGGGTGGCCACACAGCTGTCCACAAAGATCCTCAGAGCCACGTGGCTCCCAGAGCTGACCTCCGCCTGGATGTGCATGACCTCCCCCAGCTGGAAGCCATTGGGGGCTCTCTCCACGCTCCAGTCATCTGCAAGACAAGCTCACCGTGAGCAGGGCAGGCAGGCAGGGCTGGGCTCCCGGAAGGGGCTTCCCACCTACCATTCATCAGGCGCAGGGAGAAACCCAGCCTCTCCTCTGCAGACAGGGTGGAGCTGAAGGGAACCCACGTTGGCTTGATGGCCTTACTGCTCACGTTGTCCTTCCTGGGAAGAGGACCAAACCTCAGTCACCCTTCCGGCGCTCACAACAGGGCCCGAATGGGAGGGAGGGGACCGGGCATCTCAGACTCACCTGGGGTAGTGGCACCCAATGGGGATCACAGCTGGGCCGGTTCTCAGGATCACTGGGTTGCTGGCAGGGGTGGGGTTATAGTTCAGGCTTGTGCTGTACACCAGGGAGTCCGGGGTCATCTGGGACAAGCCAGACACAGAAGGGTTAACACTAGTGCGCAGGGCATTTCAAACCCCGGAGAGGCTACTGCGTTGGAGGGAGGACGTTAGAGGGGAGGGAGATGAGCGTTCAGATACTAGGGCTGCCATAGCCGTACGAGCACCATGGCTGTGCCATTTGGCACAGCTCTAGTCACCACTTCCCTCTGTGCACTTTGTGAAGGGCCCTGCCTCTCCCCCACCTATCATCTGCTTTTGGGCCAAGTTTCTGTCCCTGGCTCGCCTAGCACCTAGGTAGAGCTCAGCCAAATGCCAGCCAGTGAATGAGCCTGAGAGATCCTGTCTGGAGAGCAGGACTCAGGACCTCCCAGGCAAGCTGGATCTGGCCCTCAAGGCTCACCCCCCCTCCCAGTATTGGGGAGCCCACACGGCATTCTAGCCCCGCCCCTCTCCCCCCCACACATCTGCCTGCAGCACACAGCTACTAGGTAGAACCCAAGTTTCAGTGGGGGAGGTCCAGGTTGGATATGAGGAAAAACTATTTCCCTAGGAGGGTGGGGAAGCACTGCGATGGGTTCTCTAGGGAGCTGGTGGAATCTCCATCCCTAGAGGTTTTTAAGTCCCGGCTTGACAAAGCCCTCGCCGGGTTGATTTAGAAGGAATTGGTCCTGCCTAGAGCAGGGGGCTGGACTTGATGACCTTCTGAGGTCTCTTCCAGTTCTATGATTCTATTTTGAAATAACAAGTGGAGTATCCACACTACCAAGTGTGTTATTTCGAAATATGGGGCTAGTTATTATAACAGGGCTGGTTATAATGAACCCGCTGGCTGCTGCTGCGTGAGGGGAACATGGGGCGTGTCTTTCTGGCTCAGTCAGTGAGGGGTAGTTTGCTTGTTTTTTGTACTTCGCTTGTGCCCCTCCCCAGCTAATTTTTCTGTGGGTCAGTGCCCCCCTCTCTCCCCGCCCAAACAAAGGTCCCTCACCCCAGAGGAGGAGTCTCCAGACCAAGTTTGAGCAGGGCATCCAGAAATAAAGCCTGCCTGAGCCACCAGCCTGCCCTGTGCTGGCTCCACTCACAAGCCTGCTTTGGGAGCAGAGCTGGGCAGGTTCTTGGACTGGTGCCTGGGACGGGAGACGCAGACGACGTTCTCAGGAAAGACTGGGAGCTATTCCCTGCCTCCATTTTTAACACCCCCCACTTTCTTGTCTGATGGAGGGCCAGCAGGGGCTCCCAGCCTGCATGAATCCTTACCCGCAAGGCGCTGCCACACTCATGGAGCCCAGCTACAAAGGTCACCGTGTTCGCCGCAGCATCGAGGGACGTGAACCGGCAGGCAGCCAGGCCAAGGCTCAGGTCAGCAGCTCTGATCAGGCGCCCGGTCCCAAAGAGATCCCTGTGCACCGTGATCACCATCTGAGCCGCCTCACACTGCAGTACCACAGGCTGTGGTGGGGACGCAGCCCTGGGCTGGGCAGCAGCAACCTGAGCCCAGGGGTAGGGCCGGGCCAGAGAGGGCACATGGGGCTGTCTGCGAGGGGGCTCTGCCCTGGGGGTGGGTCTCCAAATGGCTGAGTCTCTCCTAGAGAAATCCCAGGGATTGTAACAGACCACCCCACTGACAGCCCAGCACAGGCGAGCAAAGCCCAGGCCACCACCCTACCCCATCCTGCCTCCTGCAAACCCAGCATAAAGAGCCACTGCTGCTCTGGGCCCTTTATACCCTGCACCTAAACCAGCTCCCAGCTGCCCCAGGGAATCAATTCCCCAATCTCTCACACAGCCCAGACCCAGGGCAGGGAAATAATGAATGGGAATAAATGCCACCTGGCAGTTCTCAGCAGGTGTGTTTGGAGAAACTGCCCCTGTTTCACTCCAAGAAAGGCTAAGGGCACCCCTGCCCCACAGTCCCAGTTACAGGCCTGTCAGCCCTGGGTTTGGTGCTACTGTGACCCACAAGCCACCCAGCAAAGTCTGTAGGTGCCGAACTTCGCTCAGGGCCCCCTAGGCCCTGAGCAGTGATCTCCCAGCTAAGCCCAGCACAAGCCATGAGCCAGGGAACTTAGGTGTCTGGCTGCCTTGTCGCACGTGGGCCCGTGTGCTAGCTGAGCTGCTTATCAGAGTGGGCCCCAGCCCCAGTTCCTCTGGAGGTGGCAGCCGCCCTGTCACTTTTAGCCAAGTGGTCAGAGCACTTGCCTGCGGTGTGGGAGACCCAGGTTTGATCCCTGCTGCAGAGGGGGGAGAATGTGAACAGGGTGGCCCACCTCTCAAGGGACTGCTCAGGCCACTGAACTACGGGGAGTTTAGCTGTGTGACACCCATCATCTCTCCCACTAACACTCTTCTGTTGTGGATACATCATCAGAGGGACCAGACCTTCGTGCTCCCGCTGGGTTACAGCAGCATGCCTGGACACTTGCACTCGCTCTCAGGGCTGGCTGTTTCACTGTGGCTATGCACAACGCTGAAATCTCTTCCGGAGAAACGCGTTCTCTCTCTAGTAGCCGCATAAAGAGAGGCCTTCCCAGCTGGGCAGTCACCTTCCAGGGTTGGAGTGGAGTTTTGCAGAGTTAACACCCCAGAACTGCCCCGATTTCTCCCCTGCCCCGGAATGGTTTGTTTTTCAAAGCAGGAGAGGGACTTTCCTGAGGGGAGGATCCATGTAAAACGGGGATAGGGACTGTGACACTTCACAGGGCAGCCAGGGCTGTGGGTCAACCTAGTGGCCACCTGCCTCCTGTAGGAGGGAGCCTGGCCTGTTCCAGGTGGGTACTAGCTCACCAAGACCACCAGCCCATCAAGCACTCTCATCTGGATCAGTCCAGCCCTCTCTTTCACCTTGCAGGTGGGCAATCAATGTGCCCCAGGCTTCGAGTCCCTGCAAAGTGGCCAGCTGTGGGGTCGAGCCCCTGCCCACTGGCTGCCCACAGAAATCCCAGATCCTGTTTCCAAAGGACAGCGCACCTCCCTTTACCAGTTAGGCCTTCACTCACTGCTCTTGTAGCACACACTGCTCCTGAGTTCCATCACAAAGCCAAAGGATATTTATTTCAGCCAGAATAGAGATTCAAATAAAACCCATTGTGAGAGCTGCAAATACACACCTAGCTACGACACATCATAACCCATGCTCAACGAACAGGGTCTCCTCCAGCCTAAAAAAGTGTCTTTCACCCAAGTTCTCACCAGCATTTTAAGCCAAGCCTGGCATGAGAGTCCTTTTCGTGATGTGAACTCGCTGTCACTTTACTTCCTAGGCAAATGATGTCAGGGGGTCTTTTTCCCCTAGTGTGCATCAGAACACACCCTTGATGTTTCCTTCTAGCTACGTCCCCCCTCCAATGTTTACTTCTCCCTCTTCGTTTCTTTCTGAACTCTCCACCAACTCTTCATTAGCTTTTAACTTAAATTGCCAATGGAATAGTCCACTAAGGAAATAACACACACACCCTGTCCATAGGGGTTTGTTTCAAGACCTGGGGGCTGTGTCTAAACTGGCAAGTTTTTCCAGAAAAGCAGCTGCTTTTGCAGAAAAACTTGCCAGCTGTCTACACTGGCCACTTGAATTTCCACAAGAACACTGAGGATCTCATGTAAGATTGTCTGTGTTCTTGCGGAAATACTATACTGCTCCCGTTTGGGCAAAAGCCCTCTTGCGCAAATGCTTTTGCGCAAGAGGGCCAGGTAGACAACGTGGTATTGTTTTGCGCAAAAAATCCCCGATGGTGAAAATGGCGATCGGGGCATTCTTGCGCAAAACCGTGTCTAGATTGGCACGGACGCTTTTCTGCAAAAAGTGCTTTTGCGCAAAAGCATCTGTGCCTATCTAGATGCACTTTTGCGGAAATACTTTTAACGGAACAACTTTTCCGTTAAAAGTATTTCCGCAAAATCATGCCAGTCTAGATGCAGCCTTTCTG